TCGTAGTGTTTGCCGTCTCCGGTGGCGCCGAAGTCTGTGACGGAGATGGTGGAGTAAGTTGAAGGATGGGATTGGATGATGGTGGGGAGGAGGAACAGGAGAGTGGCAACTGTTAGCTGGGGAATTGAAGGAGCACCCATGTTTTTTGGTAGCTTTCGGCACTGATTCGGAAAATAATTTGAAATTTGGGTTTGGTAAAGCTGAAATCTAGTGCCAGTAGTTTCACCATATCGACACGGAACTAGAATTAAAATATCATACTACTATTATTATATTCTAGTCATTGCAATGTGTAGAACAAGGAAGAGTCAAGATAAAATTAATAATGGCCAAGCTAAATTAACAAATCTTAATTTAATTTAATTACACCACTCATTAATTGTGCTCATTGCTTTCTGCTTTTTCTTCTTTTCTCTGTCAGGGATAACCAGATAGATCAAAGCACAATGATGAGTGGATTGCCAATGGACTTCAGACTGCGGTTTCTGTTTTTCTTTCACTATGATGAAAGCAAGGCTGGAGAAGCAGAACTGATTCATTGGAATTGAAGGTGTGAATGTCAACCTCTTAATCAAAGTGATACATACAGCATTGGACAGAATAGGGGGGGGCCAGTGGAACCCTTTTGATAGCTCATGGTCATAGCCACAGCAAAATTCAACCACAGACATGGCAGAATGTAACTTTACAACATAAGAATAGAGAAGATCCATGATCACTTGAAATGGAGTCAAGGTGGAAAGGAATAAATATTGGTATCACAATCAACATAAGTTTCTCATGTCTTAAAAGAAGAAGAAGACACCATTTAATGAAAAAAAGAAGCCGAATTCTTAATAGTTCAATCATAGTCCGTTCTATGATTTTACAATATGAGTCGATCAACCTTACAAACGAAGTATTAGATTGAATGACTCTTGAGTTAGTATATATAGTAAGAGATATTTAATAACAGCATACTGACATTTCTTGTCTCCGGTCCTGAGAAATCAAAGGTTTCCAACTGACTCGCATGGAAACCCAAAGATAAATGGTGAGGCCTCACTCTAATTCTTGCTGATTTCTAATATTTGGTATATACAATACTAGCTACCACTAGAACAATTTTTGCATAAATCAAACCATTGGAACTTCTTCGGCCTTCATAGCTTCATAGCTCCATTTTCACTTGATTCGAGTGCAATGTTGCTGCACCAAAGTTGCAATAGAAGTTAGTCTCAGCCTCGATTTACTTTGGATTAAAAGACAGTTACAACTCCTGATATTTGAATCAAAAAGGTCCGGCCTATATCAATCTCTAAAAGTTTCATGCAGCAAATATCTGGAAGCTGAAAAGAAGATTTTTGCATCATTTCCTAACAAAGAATGAAGTTCTCTACAGATGAAGTAAGATAGGATAAATTTTAAAATACAATACATTGCCTAGACACCCCTCCCCACTTGCTTTTCCTTTGATTATCAAGCATAATAGTATAACAATACCCCGTGCTGGCAATTAAAAGGGAAACTAATTTGCAACACCTTTAACTATTACCAAAATTCATTTAGCTCAACTCTTAACTAGAAATAAACAAAAATCTTTGAGCTGACCACAAGTTACAATGCCATTCTTTCTCCAAAATTCTGATCAATTTACTAAATAGAAATGAGTCGACTGAATGGAATCTGTGAAGAAATTTATCAACAGCAGTCCAAAAGCCAGAACTAAATAATTTGTTGGTTGTCCCTGACCATTTGAACTAAGGGTATTGCCCAAGCGTTACGGTTTTTTTCTTAAGGTGAAAGTTAGCAGTGATCCAAAACGTTATTTTGTGTTTTTTGCCTATTACTAATTACGATTTAGAAGGCAAATATGCCAGTTTTATCTACCTGAATTTGTCGAGGAGTCATAACTTAAAAGCGAGTTCTCAGGAGTAATATAATTATTGCACATTTCTTCTCTCCCCCAAATGGGTTGCTGAATTGCATCAAAATGCCATTGCTGTTGATACTGTTGTCTGTTTCCGTTGACTTGAACCTCAGGCCACATCAGAGGCATAACCATGCTAGGGAAGTTACCGTCCATTAGAGATCCACTCTACATGTATTAAAAGATAATCAGACATGTTAGTGGAAATTTTCAGGTAACTAAGACCAATCGCAAATTAGCTATTGTCTTGCCCTAAGAAGAGAAGCTTGATGGGAAACCGTGTAAATGGGGCATCATATATATATGTGTATACCCAACATAATCTATTGTACAATTAGTTTATGGGCTTTATAACCAATGTACATGAAAAGCCAAAAGTATTTAAATGGCGAATGTAGTCATTATGCAACACAAGGGTAATTTAATAGCACCATTTCAGTAATTTTCATTCGACACAATCTGCTAACCAGCATTGCATTTAGTTTGAAGACCCATGAATTTCAATAATTTCCTGCAATCATGGGCCTTCATAGATGGACCCACTATTCTGATGTTCCACTGAAATGACTACATTTACATCCAGCTGACTGGCAACATTTTTCCCAATCACACATTTAAAAATGGTTGAAAGCATAAATAGGCAGATGGAAGATGGTGGTCCAGACATGATCCACTGCCCTCCAAATATTAATGAGGAGCAGTCCTTTTGGATACTGGGTAGAAATCCAAATGAAGAAGGCATACCATAAAGTGTACACCCATTTAGGCTTTACCAATCCATAGAAAAAGTTCATAAACAACAATTATGGAGTTAAAACAATTTCAAGACACTCCCGCCATAAAGGTGCTCTAAAGGAGTATAGCAGTAGCTTAATTCCCGCCAAAACTATAAAAGGCTAAAAACAAAGCTACCTGTCGCATGAACTGGGAGAATCACCAAAAGAGCTTTCAATTCCGAACTTTATACTATACATACAAGACAAAAGGTGCCTGATACTTACTTCTGCTGTGAATATACTATCAAGGTTGAAATCAATTCTTGGGTTCACAGCTGCAAGTCTCATTGATAAGAACTGCAACCAAAGAAACATGTTACCAGAATTAGACCACAGGGATGGAAGATGATGCAAATAAAACCATACCACATAGCATACAATAAGACGTGCCAGCCTATGGGGATCTTTGCTTAATTTTGCAAAGTTTTCCTATATGGTTGGGAGGCAATGCGGACAATTCCATTCATCAAGCAAAGCATGTTCACAACAAGAACCAAGAGAACCATCAATTTGTAACAGTTGCAGAACACAGAAACTCTCATCGCAGTAAGCAAGGGAGAAGGAAATATTGACTCCTATAAATTGGTGAAACCCACCTAAAACACTTCGGCAAACATCTAAAATGATTAATCTCAGGCTGTCTTGACATCTATGATAATTTGAAAGTGGTTTTGGTACAAATCAAGGCAAAATTTTGAACATTGATATGATCAACAATCATTTGAAACTTTTGGGTAGCAATTCCAACAGAGGGGCCATCCAGTGGCCAAGTCGTGCGTCTCTCCCTACAACATATAGTCCACGTGCTATGATGAAGAACACATTTCTTGAATTCATAAATTTTCTCCACAACCAAATTTCTTACAAGTTGAAACGTTCCGGTATCTGCGAAAAACAAACTGATGCTTGAGATGCACAATTCTCACCTCTACTTGGCGTTGTAGGGACTGCACATGGTTGATGATTTCATCCAACACCAATGCTGTACCAGAAATCTGCAGCACATGACATTTTCAGATCACAAAAAGTTTTCAATTTATTTGAATTCATATGCATTCTATAAAGAAATTCAGATGACAATGACTTTCTGAGCAACCAACTTCTTGAACCTAATGCCATTTGAACTTTTCATTTATTGTACTTTTTTGAAACTATGGCCTGAGCAACAGGCCAGAGAGCAAGAGGTCAACTGAATGGGAGACAGATAAAGTTTGAGCTTTAATATAAGGGTATCCACCTAGATTTTGATTGTTTGAAAATTAAGACTTGAACTTTCGACATAGCCACATAATGATCTTACTTGGCTGCATATCAAGAACCATGAAACAGAGATAAGAAACAAAGGACTACTCATGGCATGCAGATAGATGTCCCAATCATTTATCCTCATAAGGGATGATATAAGTTCCAAAGTAAGTTCCCCCAAAATTAAAAGTCTAAAGCTAGCTGGATTTCTGTAGATGTCCAGTCTCCCAAAAGATGCAGGGTAAAAGCATCAATGAATTGAAAGCAATTAATATCAATTCCTTTTTCTAACAATTAGGCATCTATCATGCTTCCAAATTTTAAGGAGATCATGGCCGGTGGTCCTAGGAAAAAGAAGGTAAATCACAGGTTTGCTCATCCTGTCTTCACTGAATTGAGGTCATTTCATTAAGAAAAGGCACCAGAAAATGACTCACATCTTGTGACATATTAAGGCATAAATCAAGATACGTTTTGAGCTCAACTAAACAAATTTGCTAAGAACTATCACATCAAGTCCCCATGTAGTTAGGCAGGCACTTGGCAATAAAAGGCATTTTCTTTTGGCCGTCCTTTTTCTACTTATCCCATAAAGAATGGATGCCGAACTTGTAACAGAAGTTAGCAACTGTTGTACATCAATGAAATGGGACCCAATAAAGACATTTACTCTAACAAGTCACTAGACATGCCTACCAAGTATTTCCTTGTAATGTCCAGCTAGCATTTCCACAGGACTAAAGTTTGCCTTCACTGTTGTCAAAGGCTATAATTGTAATATTACCGATTACTATCGATTCTGTAGATAAATCAAAAACATCAAGGGCTATAAATGGTTAAAAGTTATAAGTAGAAAATCTAGCTTTACAATTTACAACCTTCACTAAAACAGCAATAAATTGTACTTGCTATGTGAAAAGACGAACTTAACCCCAAAAAGGACTTCTAACAAACACCCCCCCCCCCACACAAAGGGAAAACAGCGAAAGCATCAAAATTACAAAAGTGCCATTGGGACACCAGATCAGCACTTTTCTTCTTACAAAAGAAATCCACTTTAGTGCAAAAGGTGACAGGGACAAAACCGTTATTAAACAAAAATAACCCAAAGATGTAAACACACTTTTTGTACCCCATTTAGAAAGATATTCTTAATTTAAATCACAATCAAATCATTAATCAAACCAATTAATCCAACTGAACCGACCTTATTGCATCCAGGTACCAACTCCTGTAGTAGCTTCATTCGTGCATTAATCTTCTCTCTCCTCGCCTGTATTAAACACCAAAATTAGCTTAAATAAAAACAAACAAATTAACAAATACTAAAAAGTGATTAGCACACTAATTAAGGAGTCAATCATGAAAATTAGTAAATTACTCTCTCTGCTAAGCTATGGCTATCCGTTGCTTGTCCCCGGCGAGCTCTAACGTGAACGTAAGGCAGCTTCTCGGCGTCCTCTGAGCTCTCGTTTGCCGCAGTTTTGCTTTTCTTCGTTGACCCTTTAACCTATAACTCCGCAAAAACAAATTTAATCAGCTAATTAATCAAAATTATACCAAAAATGGAAAACCCCAGAAACCCTAAGTAAATTTGTCTTCCTCCACCTTCTTTTCTCGGTCCTTTCTCTTCATACTCCGCTTCTCCACCGTTGGATCAGAAACTAACGGCTGAGATGACTCGGTCTCCGCCGGCTCACTCTTCACCTCCTTCTGGGGATTCGCGCTTGAATTGTTCGACGTCGTTTCAGGCGAGCCGGTCTTGTTATTGTTGTTGATACTGTCTCCAGCAAACACAGAGAACCTCGCAGCTCGTTCAATCAAACCAGTATTAGAAGGAAAATGGAAGCTGTCTTTGATATCTTCAACGTTGGGCGCCGGAGCCGCGATAAGCGTAGCCGACTCAGGAGAGTGAAGAAGCTCAACGGCTTGTGGGGCCGGGAGCTCAAGCAGAGCCGTAAAGGAACTCGCATTATCGGTTGATGGAGCCGAGATCAAACGGTGGATTTCGTCTGTAAATTGGAGCGATTCGAGCGCCACTGCTTCGTCCCCATCCGACGTCGTTCCATTAGATCTGGTTTCCGTCGTCCCTGCTTCTGGCTCCATGGAGAAAAAGAAAAGAAAACTAGCCAATTTCGAAATTCTGAAAAACACCCAGTTAAATTTCGTGAAATTAAAAAGTGGTCTCTGACTAAATTCAACCCAATTTTGAGTCTGACAGCCTGAATTTTGAGAGAAACTTTGGTTTGTTTCTTCGATGGCGGTCAAGCTTAGAAAAAAGAGTTCAATGTTTCTGAGGGAGAGTTTGTTGCTCTGCAAAAGAGATTACTTCACAGCCATTTGAAGTATAGGGAAAGCAACGTCGCTGGGGTTGTCTGGTTTAATAATAAAAAGGGAATTTTTATTTTTTATTTTTTATTTTTTATTTTTGTAATTTTGCAGAGACAGTGAGAGAGAGAGAAAATAGGGTATCAGTCTCACACTAAACTTGTACAGTTCCAACTGTACACTTCGTTGAGATTAGGAAGCGAAAAGAAGTTGGTTGGGTTGGGTTGGGTACGGCCCCAGTCACCACCAGGCTTTTTGCTAATCATTTTATTATTATTATTATTATTTTGTTCCGATTTGGGTTCGCCTTGAAAAATGGATCTTCAGCTTAGCATAATTAAAAATGAAAATTAAAAAAATTAAAAAATGAATGCATCGATTTTTTTTTATTGTTTCGGTTGATTGGTTTTGACTTTTTGGGGATCACCTCTTTATGTGTTTAACGTTCATGTGAGTATATTAACATTGTTATATTCAACGTGCTCCTTCCACTTTTTTTGATTTGGCAATCATTAAAAGGGCAACACCGCCAAACTACCCCGATCTCACCAAAAAGAACACACCTTGTGCGCTCCAACCTCCCACACATTTAGACTTTTGTTCTTCTCCACCATTTTTAAAACCCACTTTCTCAAATCTGAATATGACCATTCCATTGCCAACTTCTAGTAGCGCCGACGAGAATTCGAATATCGATTTCAATAATAAATACTATATAACATGAAGGGGTAATATACAGTTAGATTTAATGAGGTAAAATTCGTTTTATTCATTGTATCAAAATGTAATTATATTTAATGGTAATTTACCATAACCACTATGCAAAATTAATTTGGACTCGATATGACATTCTAGAAAGGAAAAAAAAATACATATGAAAAATGCCAAGGACTTTTCATGAGTTGTAATAACGTGTTTTTTTTATATGTATTTCATATCTAATCATAAAAATATAAAATTTTATTAATAATACATTTTTAACACTACATGATAATATTATAATATTTAATAATAAAGAGTTGACTCAATTGATAAGTTTCATTTACTTTAACAATAAGTAATATGGATTTTGATTTGAGTCTAACCAATAATATTTTATTAATGTTAGTATGTAATATCAACTATTATGAGATACATATAACATAACTTTTTACTTAAACTTGATCACATACTAAAATGCTTTTTTCTGTCACAAAACAAAAAAAAGAAAAATCTAAATGATTGAAATCAATAATTGAACATCAAATGATGCAAATTGCAAAGTAAATGGTGGCAATGAATAACTTAAGAAGGCATTTTTAAGGGAAATAAGCTTTCAATGTGTATATGGGCATGTACAACACAGCACGATAATAATAAATGAATAAAACTAAGGAGAAACTGAAAGTGACGTGGTCGAAACGGGGGCGAGAGACATGGAAGGACGAGCCGTGGGGCGTAAGACACTAGCTCGGTCCCATAGGGCGGGGACCGGCCACGAACCAAGCCCCGACACTGTTTTTAATCGCAGAAGATGACCCGTCATTTTCTTGTATTTATTTCTAAGCATAATATATATATACATATAAACCATATATCATATATTAGTGATATTTATAATACTTACCACCTCTGCTACGAAGTTATTTCACTATTATTATTACATAGGTTTGTCAAAAGAAAGGAAAGGAAAGGAGAATGGCAGTCAAATTTTGTGAATGTGTAGAGTAATAAATTTTGATTCGATGAATTGTTGATGCTTTGAGCTTTAAATTTGGGTAGCTTTGACGCCTTGCTTCCCAATTATTTGTTACTCTTGCAGATTGAATCCAATACTAAAAATAAATTTAAGTAAGCACAAATTAGACATGTCTACCAGTTAGGGAATGGATAAGGTTACTAGAGTCCGATTGGACTTCACTTATGATATTATTATAAATATAAAATATTTACTTTTTATTTAATTTAATTTTAATTATGTTTGAATAGACAAGTCAAGTTGAGTCGAGTTTAGATTTAAGTTTTAAACATGTTAACAAAGTTCGGTTCGACCATAGACACTTCCGGTACAAGTCTTTGCCTTGAATTCAATTCTTTTAAGAATATTCATTTTATAAATTTAATCATGAAAGTCTTTATTTTGTTAAGGAAGTTTACAGTGTTGCGAAATATGTCCACTTTGATTATAAATAAAGATAAATTAAATAAACACGTGTCAATTATATAAAAATTTAGGGTTGATACATAGAATAATAAATTAATAATCCTTTTTTTTTTAATTTGGATGACTTGGATTTGTAAGATTACCAAATTAAGTTTTCCCTAATTTTTTTGGGTGATACATAGTTAGTACTTATTAGCACATGTGACTTTTTTTTTGGGTGAACATTATTAATGAGAGAGTTAGAGATGTAGGAAATAGCAAGTTGTGCTAATTGGATAATTGGATATATAGTAGTTTTATACTCCACTGATATCTGATAATGTTCCTTTCAAATGAAACCAATTTTATCATGTGTAAATTTATATATAATGATGTTGAAAGTTAATTTTATACAATCATCTGGATTTCATTAGGATATATATATATATATATAAATCTTGACTAGTGGATGTTAAAACACTGAATTGGGAAATATCAAAAAGACTTCAAGACGTGTATCAATGTTATTATCTTTAAAGTTTTATTCATCCTGATTTGTAATGTACGAAAGAGTTACCGATGTATAAACTTCGAATATATAATGAAGCTCAGTGATTGACGACGTTTTACACTAACAAAATCAATCCATTGAACACTCATCGGAATATTACAAGATTATTAAACTTCTATAAGATTTTCTGTAACAAAATGATATAAAAAACACAGAGAATGTTGAGATGGGAAAAAGAGATTGTTATTATTGTTTTTTTTTGTATGTTTTCTAGTTCAAAAGAAGGCCTTTTTTATAAGTTTAGATAGGAGTGGAGTTAGTCAACTTTTATTGAAAGGGTCAAAGACGAAGAGGAATAAAGGCTAAAATTTTTTAAAATTAATTTGTTGAACTTAATGATTAATAATCAAAAGATTAATAATAGACAATAATTTTATATAACAATAAATAAAAAAAGATTTATAATAATACTCTAAAAAAGTTTTGTTGGACGATGGTAATGTCTTTCTCAATATTATCTGTAAGAAACTCATTATCCATTTTATTTCAAAATTTTATCTTTCTCAATATAAAGGACTAAAAAAGTAATATAATCAACATCCAATACTCTTATTTTATTCCATTTAAATTTAAATTACTAAATATTAAACTATAATTTATAAAATATAAATAGTTAAATATGATATATAGAATTAATAATTTTCTCTAATATAATTAGGATTGTTTAAATATTAAATACTCAAGATAATTTCTTTTTAACTAAATATAAAAGGTAAAACACAATAAAAAGATATACTGAAGATAATTTCTTCTTATATAACTAGGATTAATAAAAACTGATTTATCAAGAAAACTTTAAACAACAACCAATAATGCTACGTTGAAAACTTATGTTTGAGAATTAAATAATAATTTTTTAATTTTTAAAAACTCAAATTATTAAAAATAAAATTCACGTAACAAAAAAAAAAGACATGAGAAGTAAAAGATAGAACTTACACAAAAAAACATGGTTGATGGTTCGTACAAATTTGAAAAAGAAAATTTATAAAAACTTAGAACATATGAGCAAATGCAATAGAATTGAAAAAAAATAAATAAATAAAAATAGAAAAAACCCTTTACCTCAAGAGAGAGAGAAAAAGAAAGAGAAAAAAAGACATGTGAAGAAACTTAGAGAGTTAGGGAAAAATTTAAAAGTTAAAGTAAAATTGAATGGAGCTTGTAAGATCATTTTATTATTATTTTTGTATTAATTATTTAATAAAATATTATTTTGAGGTAATCGTTATAAAAATATATAATATATAAAAAATTTTAAAAATTTTTGATAAAGGGACGTTTCGCTCCTAGGCTTAAGTGCCTATTCCTAGCAGAAACAGTTGTGTCTGTTTAAACAGACACAACTGTTAGTCTTTTCAAATAGATGTGATTGTTCTTTTATTTTCTTATTTTTAACAAACATGACCCTTCATTTATTTTCTAATTTCCAATAAACATGATTTTTCCTCTTATTGAAACATGGGATTGTGTCTTATATTTATTTGAAAATGTTCATCAATCCTCCACAATTTTCAAATTAATCCAAAAATTTGATAATCTTGAAAATCGATTGCATAAATGAAAGTGTCTTTCGATTTAACCTTCACTTAGTGAAAATATGTTAAACGTTAACTGAAATTGCATGGTAGATTATACTTTAAACTAGCTATTCCATTTAATTAACCAAACACATCTTACACAATGATTTCAAGACCAATGAATGCATGACGCTTTTATAGCCACACATTTGTATCTTCATTTTATGAGTGCTGTTAAAGCCAAGCTCTTGAGCTCTTAGAAGTGCCCACACTTCACACTCACATAGGTAGATTCCATTAAGAATGCCCCTAGTAACTAAAGCATTCTAACAAATTTATGTTATAGGTCTATTAAGAGTATATAACTCATCATTTCCTTCCCATTATGGGTACTTAGCACTTTACTTAGGATGGAATATAATATATCATATTATATTGCTAGCAGCCACATACAGATAATATACTTTGTCTCATTGAAGTTAAGGCTTTATGTTATGCCAAATGTTGAGTTGAGTTTCTATTATAAGTAACTTTCAATTTATGAGCTTAAACTTCATTCCCTTTGATGTCTTATTTACAAGATTTCTAGTAAAACTTTTTGTTAAAGGATATGTCAAGTTTTTATTAAACCTCACTAAAGTTATAATTGTGGACATAACTATGTCTTAATCCATTAGAATTAATTGTCAGACATAGTTGTGTGTCTTAATCTAATATGTTTAGGCTTTCTATTATACACTTGGTTATATGCTTTTGCTAGAGTTCCTTCTCTATCACAACGAATAGAAACTAGAAATATTGGTTTAGACTGTAAAAGCACACCATAAAGTAAATTTTTTAGCCATTTAACTTTCTTGATAACAGCAGTCAATGTAATAAATTCAGCTATTATGATAGAATCTG